ACTGATGGATCTAACAGAGGCCACCAAGTCTCAGTCCTGGGCCTCTACTCTTTAAAATTCTTGTGAATCACTTGGACAAATGGGTGGATTGGATCTCTCCAAATTTGAAAAAGGCTAAATTTGTGAGGTAGGTAATAGTGTAGAGGATGGATATAACACTGAAAGTACTCTTGATGGAACAACATTAATGCAATGAAATGGAATAGAAACAAATGAAATTAATAGTTGCAAGGGTGGCCGGATACAAACTGATGATGAATTTAAACCAGCAGCATATTCTATCACAAAAAAATGCATGAAGAGAGGCAAAGTTTGCAAATCAGGGTTAGTGCTACTTCCACTTTGTTCTGTGCGGAAGGGTTGACTTTTCTGCAGCACATTTTAAAAAGAGTTTTGGAAGAGGCTCAGAGAAGGGAAACCAAGTTGGCTGGTAACCCAGTCCTTTGAAGAGGGGTGGACAATAAATGTTTAGCCTTGAGCAGAGAAGACTCACAGGGGATGTTGATTGTGGGACCAACTACTAGGTTGTTCGTGTCTCTGAAGGGGAGCCTCCTGCTTCGCTTCATCAGATTTGAGCAAACTGTGTCTCCAATATGATGTTGCAAAGCAGCACCCAGCTCCTAATCTGTGGAGGATCGTCCCACTTTGCTTCACTTCTGTTGCAAATGGAGAAGCACCTGTTTGCAAAGCAAAGTGGTCAGTCCATGCAGATAAGCTTCTCTGCAGTGATCAGTGCTGCATTGAGACGATCATGGTTGATCTGCGAGACCTTCCAGATACCCAGAGAGGTGGGAATCCCCTTCCTAAGATGGGTTCAGGCAGAGGCGGGACAGCCTCCTGCCATTCAAGCTTTACTTTGGACTCCTGCAAAAAATTAGGGGTTGGATCTCACGGCCTCCGTGGCCCTTTCCAACTTCAGGATTCTAAGGAGATGCGATATGCTCAATTCCGGACAACTTGGAGAGAACTGAGAATTGAAACTGCAGAAAAGATTAATTTTTTTTTTTTAAAAAAGGAAGTACAAAATACTTCCTTATAGAAAATGTTTTTCACTGAAAATGAGATGGAAAAATGATAAATGATTTTGATAATGAAAATGAGTGAGAAAGCCTGGGGACAAATGTAATATTTTAGTATCAGATGGTGCTTCTTATAATTAATAATAATCATTAATCATGTAAAATATTGCTAATTATATTAAGGTCCTCTGAGGAAATACCTACAAAGCCCTGAAATAAGTTATATTTAAGTTGAATTATTACTAAATACAAACAGAGCTTTCCAAAATGGGAG